CGCTAAGGAGAATTCTAACTACTTCTTCCAAGACAGATGTGGTAATGTACCTCTTTAAAAATCTTAACGTCCTGGTCTTGCCCAAGCATGTCCCCTTCCTCCTTCCTCACAGTCATTCATAAGTTTTTTTCCAACAGCTCTCCCAAGACAGCCCAAGTTTTCACAAAAAGGAGAACAATAAAGTAAATCCCAGACAATCTCACAGACTATTGGAGGGAGTTCTACCGTGGGTAAGTGAGCAGAGTCGCCCAGTTGAATAGCTTAGATACTTTCCCTGAGTCTTAGCTCCGGGAATGTGAACAGCTCTTAGGGTGAGGGTGGAACTGAATCCCTGGACCACATCGCAAATCTCCAAGGTCTCCCAGATGAGCTCCAGGTCTCCTGTGAGCACCGTATGCACGTTGTCCCAGAGTTCTCTGGCTCAGTCTGAGTCTGGGGTTCTGGTCTCCCCATTCAAGGCTCAGGTATTTTTTAGCCCCGTCCCCCTCCCCGTCCCTGGCGATCCAGGAGTAACTTTCAGCTCCACGCTTGACCTCCAGACTAGGAGCTTGGCCCCGCCCCCAGGGGGGCGGGCAAATTTTTGGCTCGGCCCCGCCCAACACCAGGGATTAGGCGTCTGACTCCGCCCCCTGGCGGAGCCCAGGAAGTTGGCTGCTGGCCGGTTCCATTCGCCCGACGGGACCGAGGTCAGAACCGGCTTCCTGAAGTTCCTTCCCCCAGCAGGTGGAGCCTTCTGCCGGAAGACGGGTGCGCGGTCATGGCGGCGCCGGCTCGCAGTTTGGGGCTGCTTCACCGCCGCCTGGCCGGACTGCTGGCACAGGGCAGGGGGGCCGCTCCGCCCGTTGGGGGGACGGAAGCGGCCGGGTGCGCCTTCCGGGGCTTTCGGAGCAGCGGCGTGAGGTACGCGGGCTCCCGGGCCCTGGTCGGGGCGCGGTGGGCGGGGTTCTCGGGGCCGGACTGACGCTCGGGGGCGGCTGCGCGCCGGGCTCCGGGCTCCGGGCTCCGGGCTCCGGGCTCCGGGGCTCCGGGCTCCGGGTTTCGGGTTCCAGGTTCCGGGCTCAGCCCGCTGGGCTCTGCACGTGGCCTTGGCGTCGCGTTTGCCCCGGCTCTGGGCCCCAGAGCCGGCCGGTTCCGTGGTGTCTGAAAAAGGCGTAGTTGGGTGACTTAGGAAGGCATTTGAGGATTCTGGGGAAGTGTCCCGTGTATCCTGCTGGGAGTAGTGAGTCAGCCGATTGGGCTGCGCAAGGTAAAGGTCAGCAGTTCAAACCAGACCACTGCACCCCGCGAGAAAGTTGAGGCTTACTTACTACCCTTATAAGAGTAAGAGCCTCCCAACCCCTATGTTAGTGAGTGCCCTGTTGGGCCGCTACTGCAAGGTCAGCGTTTTGAAACAATAGACTAAAACCCTCTGTGGGAGAAAGATGAGCTTTCAACCCCGGGCACCCACAGGGGCAGTTCTGCTCTTTCTTACAAGGTCACTATGAGTCAGAATCGATTGAAGGGCAGTGAGATTTTTAAACATTTGGTTGTGCGTTTAACCGTTGTTGTTTTTTCTTTTGTGGTTTTTGTTGTGTAAAAAGGAATGAGTGCTGTCTAGATGGTTTCCTCTAGCATTTGAGTTTCTGATTTATGTTCTAAGTGGTCTTTTCCAGGAAAAAATTCTTACTGATGTTTACAAAATCGGCCATTAATAAAGATTTCTTAGTCTTTTTCTCCACGGTGCTTCTCCAACCTCCGTCTGGCGATCAGTGTTAGATTGAGTGCTTCTCTTTGGACCTAGCTGCTGGCTGTCCACAGATGCTCTGGAGTCAGCTGTGGCTCCTAGCAACCCCGTGTAGGAAACACTGCCTGGACCCGTGCCACCCATTCTCACAGCCCTGGTCAGCCCATCTCTTAGAGGGTCTTAATCTTTTTTACTGATCTCCTTTTAACAAGCATGATATTGTCCCAGTGACTGGTCTCACCAGATAACATGCCCCAAATGCTTGAGATGAAGTCTCTCTTTGCTTCTAAGGAGCATTCATTCTGACTGTACTTCTTCTGCGACACATTGGTTCTTCTGGCACTCTACGGTACTTTCAGGAATCTCCATCAGGACCATAATGCTAATGCATGGGTTCTTCTTGGGTCTTACTTATTGTCCACCTTTCACATGCATCTGAGGTGTTTGAAAAGACCATGGCTTGAGGCAGTTGCACTTAGCCCTCAAACTGACATCCTTGACTGTATCAATTGTTATAAGAGCTGTAAGAGCCCCCAGTAAGATGATTTAAAATAAAAAGTGACATCCTTGCTCCTCAACATTTTAAACAGGTCTTGTACAGCAGATTTTGTCCAATGCAGTATGCCCTTTGAATTCTTGACAGCAACTTCCATGAGTATTGATTATGGATCTAAGCAGAATGAAAACCTTGACATAATCCATTCTCTGTTGCTAGTCAATTTGTATGTTGTGCTGCTAACTGCAAGGTTAGCAGTGTGAAACCACCAGTTGCTCTTGAGGAGAAAGATGAGGCTTTCTGTCTCAGAAAACACTAGGACAGTTCTACTGTCTCCTATAGGGCTGCTATGAGTTGGAATTGCTTCCTTTGTAGTTAGTTTGATTTTGGGTGGTGGTGGTGGTGAGTGTACAGCACAGCATTGTACTTTAACATAGAATAGTATAGAGCCAATGCCTCTATCTGTATTGATTGCAGCTCCAAAAATCCTTGACAACTTTAATACTTTATCTGTTGGTTATGATTTTGCTTATTCGTCCAGTTGTAAGGATTTCTGTTTTCTTTATGTAGAGCTGTCATCAATACCAAAGGCTTTGGTCTTTATCAGTAAATGCTTCCAGCTCACTTCTTCAGCAGGCAGGGCTATGTCATCTGCATGTCTCAGGTTGTTAATGAGCCCAATATGGATACTATGTTCTTCAGATAAAACCAAAACCCATTGCCATTGAGTCAATTCCGAGTCAGAGCGACCTTCTATAGGGTTTCGAAGGCTGTGAATCTTGATGGGAGCATTTAGCTTCATCTTTCTCTCATGGACTGGCTTGAGGGTTTGAACTGCCAATCTTGGAGCTAGCAGTCCAACGCTTACCTAACATCAGCACCATAGCCCAACTTATAAAATAGATACTGCTTACTTAATTAGGATGGATCCCTGGTGGGGTAGTGTTTCCACGCTGAGCTGTTATCTGCGAAGTAGTTCAAAGCCAGCAGCTGTTCTGTGGGATAATCCAGTGGGCCAGTTTTGCCCTGTCCTGCAAGGTCCCTGGGAATCAGAATCGATTTGATGGCAGTGAGTTTGGTTTTGTTTAGTGACAAAGGAGCCATGGTGAGGAAATGATGAGTGCCAGGCCACTCACTGAAGGGCTGACGATTAGAACCCGTCAGTGGCTTTGTGGGAGAAAAACAATGCGACTACTTGCTCCCATTAGATGACAGCCTAGGAAACTCTTTGAGGACAGGTCTGCTCTGTCCTATAAAGTTTCTATGATGATGCAAACAATAACAGTCCATTAAATGACCTTCCCCACCTCACTGGATAGCTTCTATTTATTTCCAGGTAAGGTTTACCTTAGTAGAACGTTTCTAACTAGGGCATTCACAAAGAACCCACAAGCTTTCCAAAAAAAAGCCTCTGTGGGGTACAAACGCTGAAGAAAGGCCTGGCAGTCTGTTTCCACAAACTCCGGAGCACAGTTCTACTCGCCGGTGCGGCTGCCACGAGGGTGAGTGACCACCACAGTGAAGAGCTGGCTCTTTAACGAGATCTGTGAGAGAATAACAGGAATTTACCTTGAAAGACTGTCAGTTGGTTTGGATTTACCACCTCTATTGCCTAGGGAAAGTCGATACAGTATAATTCCCTTTATGCTGCAGAATTGAGTCACATGTCTATTTTAGTCATTTTACATTACTTATGTGGGTAGTTTATTATTCGAATTTCAGTTGATTTCCTAGCATGAGGATGATCCTTCAAAAAGGTACAAGTGGATTGATTTCTGACTGCGAGCCTGGTGTGAACAATCTCAAGTCCTTACTCTTTCCACACCTTGTGCACCTTGAGTAGAGTTAGACAACAGGCCATCAGTATGCTCAAATATTGTGACCACTAGCTTCACACACACTTGAACATGGCCATGCAGGATTGCTTGCACACACCCATCTTAGAGCGGATATGTATCTTTTAAATTAGATTTAAGGATCTCTTTATCATTTAATAGGTAGCCCTCATTGTCATGGTTATGAGTTGGGCTGTGATCCACAAGAACAGCAGTTGGAAACCACCAGAGAAAAGATGGGGTTTTCTCCTCCTGTACAGAGTTACAGTCTCAGAAACTCACAGGGGCAGTTCTGCCCTGTCATATAGGGTCGCGCAAAGTCAGCATGGTCTGAATAGCAGTTTTGTTTTGTGCTTTAATTGCTACAATGATTTTGAAAGCGATTCTTACGGAAAGAGCCCTGATGATGCATTGGGCTACAAGCATTGGGCAATGTAAATCCACCCCCTGCTCCTGGGGAGACAGATGAGGCATTGGCTTGTCTACAGTTGACAGCTCGGTAACTGAGGGCAGCTCGGCGCTGTTTGAGAGGGTTGCTCTGAGTCAGAATGGACTACTTGGCAGCAGGTTTCTTCTTAATGGAGATGTTGAGGGCTACTTCTAGCAATTGTCAGTGAATAAAAGTAAGTAATACTTTCACTATTTTTAGTTTGTGTAAGGCAGCTTTGCTCAAGCTAGGCCTAGGCTATGAGGTTGTGCTTTATGCCACTGAATAGCATACATACCCGTGAGGTTGGCTGTAAGGTGGAGAAGCACCTGTGGCGAGTGGGTCTCGGGTGGGGAGTGATTCGGACAGTGTGTTGATGCTTATTGGTGTCTTTTCTCTTCTAGGACCAGCAGAGAGAAGAGATTCCATCCTCCAGAGGTCGCCACTGTCTGCCTCCCCACTTGTCCCCATCCACAGCCATTTTCTTTTTTAATATCATATAGCAACAACTAAGTGATCTAGTGGTTTAAGATTGACAACAGCTCCTATTGATTTGAAATTTAAAACTTCGGTGATATAAATGACCATATTTATCACCAGTTTATGAGCTTCACAGATCCAGAAAGGGCACATAAAAGAGTATTCCTGGTCATTTTCTTCTTACTTCTGACTAACTAGATATTAGTAATAATAATAATGTGATTATATGCCCCGGAATCTTCTGGCGACCCACTGTACAACAGAACACAACAGTGCTGCCTCCTGGCTGTCCGCACCCTCATTCCTGTGTTGGAGCCCATTGTTGGAGCCACTGTGTCAGTGCATCTTCTTGAGGTACTTTCCCACGGACCCTCTCCTGTACCACGCATGATGTCCTCCCTCATGGCCTGATTCCCCCTTATCTGATGAGATGTCCACAGTACGTGAGAGGAAGTCTTGCTATCCTCACTTCAAAGTCACTGAACTTCCAAGCCGCGTTTTATGTGATTTTCCAGCAGTCCATAGGGTATTCCGTGTGCCTTGCCAACACCGCAGGTCAAAGACTTCCCTTGTTGCTGTTGTTGTTAGGTGCCAGTGAGCCAGTTCTGACTCTTCTCGACCCTTTACATCAGCGGTTCTCAACCTGTGGGTCGCGACTTCTTTGGGCGTCAGACGACCCTTTCACAGGGGTCACCCGATTCATAACAGTAGCAAAATTACAGTTATGAGGTGAAAACGAAAATAATTTTATGGTGGGGTCACCACAACCTGAGGAACTGTATTAAAGGGTTGCGGCATTAGGAAGGTTGGGAACCACTGTTATACGTGCAGCAGAGTAAAACACTGCCCAATTTTGCACCAGCCTCACGTCTTCCGTCTTCTTTATTTGTTGTTCAGCTTTGAGATGCTTAAGAAGTGGTTGGTAATACCATGCCTTGGTCAGGTGCCCCTTAGTCTAACCCTTTAAAGATGTCATGTGCAGCATATTGTCCCATGCAGTATGCTGATTTCTTTACTACTGCTTCCAGGAGTGCTGATTACGGATCCCAGTGAACTGAAATCTTTGCCAGCTTAATCTTTGTTCTCCTTAATGACATTATGTATTGCTCCCCTCGGGAAGATTTTTGCTGTCTTTATGGTGAGGTATAATCAGCACTGACGGTGGCAGTCTTTGATCATTTAAGTCTTTTTTTGCTTTCAGCAAAGTTGTGTTGTATGCATACCGCAGGTTGTTACTAATTCTTCTTCCAATGCTGATGCTGCGTAAAGAATTACAATCTTCAGATAGTCCAGCTTCTTGGTTGATTTGCTCAGCAAATAGATTGATTAAGTATGGTGAGAGGATACTTCCTTGATGGATACCTCGCCTGATTTTAAGCCACCCTGGACCCCTTAGTTGTATTGAAAAGCTATATTTTATTAGTTGCAGGAATTATTCTGAAAGAAGATTAAACCTCAAAAAACACCCAAACCCACTACCATTGAGTAACAGTTTCGTACCCCCAGGCACAGTTCTAGCCTGTCTTGTAGAGTTCTGGGAATCAGAATTGACTTGATAGCAGTGAGTGTGCTTTTTTGTTGTTGAAACGCTTGAGAAATAGAAATAAGAAACTCTGGTTTAAAAATTTTTCCCATTTCACCTTTCTGTGAGAGGAGCTTATAGATCAAAATGCCCCTGTACTGTACACATCGCAGTCTTTGGCCTAGAGCTTTGCACCTGTGGAGCATGAGTGGCATGTCCTATCGGAGTAAGGAGGTTAGAGACCTTGTATTTTGGTGCTGCGCTCAAAGCAGGTCTGCAGGTATCCACAATAGCAGGACTTCCCAAAACCTGCTTTAACTTGGTCTTTCTGAACTGCACTATTTGATAATAAAAATCCCAAACATTTGTTTCATTTTTATCCTGTTGCTCAGTGATGCCGTTAAGGAGCTTCCCCTCTTCTGTATGTCTGTGAAAATGGCAGGGGTGGTGTGGTGGCGAGGAGGAGACCAATTCCTGTGAGGTAGAGAGGTTAAGCCTGCCTCCTGCCTTCAGCCTTCTTTACTCTTCTGACACCACCCACCCTGCCCGTGGCACTCTGCTTCTCTGCTGGGGAAATATGCTGTCTGATAACTTGTTGCAGTGGCAACCCAGGACTCAGCAACAGTACATAATGATCATGAGGTTTATTAGGGAAGTTAACAGGTGGTAACTCAAGGATCAGAATGTTAAGGTTATATTCTTTTCTATAGTCACTGGTCCTCGACTACTCAGCCCTTAACTTTTGCCCTACTCAGGTAAGTACTATAAATCTTTAGTGCACATAATGCCCAAAGGACACCCCACTAGACAAGCCTTCCTCCTGCCCAAGGCACTCAGCTTTATTCTTTCCGTGGGCTAGGAAGCTCACCCCTCTTCTGCTCTTTTTAGTGCTGCTTGGGCTGCTGTCGCCACCTCTCAGTGCAAAGATCCCAGGTGCAAAGGCTAAGTTCCACTTGTGGCTCTTCTTAATGATGAGAATCCCTCATTCGGACTTCTGAGAGTCATTTTATATACCTACTGGGGTGGCAAAACTGACCAGTCCATTCACTCGTGTCCCATAGACCTGATTTGCATGTTTCCACACTCATTGGGTGGGAGACACAATGACTGGCAAGAAGAGCCATAGTCTTGCTGCACCACAGTGTCTTGCTGCTGCCAGTGCCTTTACAGTTTTTGAAGCTGGGCTAGCATGTAAAGTGCCATTTCTTTAAAGGAGGCCTGTGCTGTAGCTGGAGTGCTTATGAGTCAGCCTGCTAATCACAAGGTCAGCAATTTGAAATGACCCGCCGCTCCACAGGAGAATGAGGCTTTCTACTCCCTGAAAGAGTTACATTCTTGGAGACCCACTCGGCAGTTCTACGCTGCCCTCTAGGGTCACCGTGAGTGAAAATTGATGTCAATGGCAGTGAGTTTGACTCTGATTTCTTTTTAATGGCACTGTCGTTGGGTGCCTTCCAGTCAGTTCTGGTTGTCATAGTGACCCCGCGTGTAGCAAAACCAAACCTTGCTCCTCCCTGTGCCATCCTCACACCTGCTAGGTTGGAGACCACGGTTGCAAACACCGTCAGCTCGTCATGTTGAGGCTTTTCCTCTCTTGCTGCCCTCTGCTTTCCTAAGCATGGTGTCCTTTCTCAGATACTGACCTCTCCTGACACTGTGGCCAAAACTTTCCTCCAGGTCTGATGCTGTGGTCTTCAGATAAGCCCCAAGCTTCTCTGATTAGTTGCTGAGCTTACAGATTTAATAAGCATGGTGAAAAAATAAAACCCTAACATAGCTTTCTTGATTTCAAACCATGCAGTATTCCCCTCAAAGTTCAGTACCGTGTGAGCACCATGAAGTGTTCTAGAATTCCCATTCTTCTCAAACACTATCCGTAGCTTGTGGTGCACACATTTGCCTGCCTTTGCTCAGTAAAACAAACATCTTTCTGGTATTCTCAACTTTCACCGAGATCCCGCTGGCATCAACAGTGAGAACCGGTGTTCCACATCCCCTTTTGGATCCAGCTTGAATTTCTGGCAGCTCCATGTCAATGTACTGCCACAAGCATCGAATGAGCTTCAGCATTTGCCATTGTTGAATGTGCTTTATAGAGACTTTTAGTGGCTTTCAGACGTGAGGGGAATCATGGTTTAGAAAGTAGTGGACCAGTGTTAACGATGGGAAATTGGGCAGAAGAGACTGGTGGTTGCATCACATAGCTAATGTAATTGATGTCACTAAATTGTACACGTGAAAGTGTTGAATTGCTAAAAGTTGTGTTTCACGTATATTTTTACAGTAATAAAAAGACCCTACATTTTTGGAGCTAATCAAGGACACTGGTTTATTTATTTATTTTTAACGGGCCTTTTGCAGTGGGTAGTGAGAGGAACCCTGGTGGCTTACACGTTGGGCTGCAAGGTCACTGGCTCAAAACCATCAACTGCTGCATAGGAGAATGATGAGGCTTTCTAGTCCCATAAATAGTTACCATCTCAGAACTCTACAGGGGCAGTCTTATAATTTGTGAGTTGGAATTGACTTGATGGTAGTGAGTTTGGATTTTGGAATCACTCAGAAATGAACAACCTATTCCTTCATAATCTGTTTCAGCCAAGAAGTTGCACTGAAACTTGTTCACCTTGGCAGACCCTCCTGTTACTTGAAATACAGGCCATATAGCTTCTGGCATAGCAGCTATGTGTAAGCCACTACAGTACTGCAAACTGTCAGACCAGTAGTGGAGATACCCTCTAACTGGCTCCCCCAGCCCCCACCCCAAAAGGAGCCCTGGTTGCACAATTGTTAGGCACCCGGCTGTCAACCACCTGCCTTGAGGGAGAAAAGACCTGGCGATCTGCTCCCGTCAAGATTTCAGCCTAGAATACCCTTACAGGGCAGCTCTGTAACCTAAAGGTTCTCTTTGGAATCAGTGTTGACTCGGTGGTACACAAAAATCCCTTTGTCTCTGCTATTTCTGATAAACTTTGTCATGAATGTAATTTTGTCTTTAGGTAAGTTGGTTTTATTAATATTTGGTTAGCCCTTACTCTGTTAAGCATTTCCTAAATAAATGGAAAAACAGGTTTGAGTACATCCAATCTCTGCAAAAATATGCCCTACATGTGGTTTGCAATTGCAGACAGGTCTCATAGTTGCTTTTCCTGCTTTTGAAGCACTTACTAAATCCTGCAGCACGGTTTTGAATCAAATAGTCTAATGTTATATAACAAATTTAAAGAATCATTTTGCCATGTTCAGTGAGGCGTTCTTAACCTGTGACCTCTTAGGTCCAGTTCAGGGGATTTATAAACTTGAATGAGAGATCACTAACCTTTCAATAAATCTGTTCTCTTGTGAATGTTGGCAACAAACCACACTAATATTAACAATATAGGGGGACATAGAAAAGTTTGTGGAAAATGGAATTAAAATAAGAAAAAAATTAATATAAATTTTATATTGCAACATGGGCCAACAAGTTCTTGACTTTTGTAAGTGATGATACTGTTAGTCCATCCCTAAAGAACTAAGGGCCCTGGGAATTTATGTCAGTGGAGTCTCCTTTTATATTATTAAATGAAAAATGGATGCCCTTTAACGATTTTTTAGATTAGAAAACTAAAAGAAGTGGGAGGGAGTTAAATCAATACTGTAAGTTGGATACCTAACGATTTCCCATCCAAACTCTTATAAAATTGCTCTTGTTTGAGGAGAGGAATGAGAACAAGTGGAGCTTTCCTGCATGTTTTTCTGCTAAAGTTTTGGCTGATGTTTGTAACACACTCATAATCAAATGTTAGCATTTTTGACCCTCAAAGTCAGCAAACAAAATGCCTTGGCATCC